TTCTTACTCAAATCATCCAAAATGCTACATGTTGTGAAAACTCTTAGGCTGTGTCTACACTGGCACGTTCTTGCACAAAAACTTGCTGCCTGTCTACACTGGCTGCATGTTCTTGCGCAAGTAAACTTGACGTTTTAATGTATGAAATCAGGGCTTCTTGCGCGAGAACTCTGATGCTCCCACTCAGCAATAAGCCCTCTTGTGCAACTGTTCTTGCACAAGAGGCCAGTGTAGACAGGCAACGTGAATTTCTTGCGCAAGAAAGCCCTATGGTTAAAATGGCCATGAGAGTTTTCTTGCCAGTGTAGACGCTCTCTTGCACAACTACTTTAATGCAAGAACTCTTGCGCTAAAGAGTTCTTGTGCAATATCACGCCAGTGTAGACGTAGCCTAAGAAATCTTATACCGGATGTTCTGAAGTGTCAACTAACTAACCCCACTGAAGGATTTCCTAGCCTTCTAGTGCTGGGAAATTGTCTCCATCAAATGGAAATTGTTCCCAGACTTTAGTTGTGTCTCTGTACCTCTAATTAGTGCCCTTGAACCTGTATGCAATTCATGAGGTGTACAGAAGAAATGGATCTGTTTAGAAATAACTAGCTGAATTAAGTCAATGCCTGAGATGGGTTTTCTTTATAGAAATAACTAGCTGAATTAACAAGTCAATGCCTGAGATGGGTTTTCTTTTTTTTTTTTTTTGTTTTGTTTTTTAAAAGGTGCTATGGTATATGGCCCTCCAGCTCCAAGGAGACCACCTGAGTTGTCTGGAAGATCATCTGTCCCAGGTGAGGTGCAGCCTTCAATCCCTTCAGGTTGTTTGCTATTTGACTGATAAAGGGTAATTTGAAAGCCCCTGTTCCTCTTCCAAAAGCAAAGTCAAGTGCTATGAAACTTCTACTTTTCATAGATCTTGGCCTTGCTGCAGCAGCCCTGGTGAATATTGGGCCAAGAACCTCTTCGCCTTCCACAGCCATGGACGGAGTGGTAAGTTGAAAATGTTTTCCTCTGCTCAGAACACTTCAGGCAGCATTTCTTGTGACCCAGTGTACCTGCCACTTCTCTCTTTAATTGTGCATCTTGTCTGTGTCCCCCTCACCATCATTTACTGCCAAAAGCAAAACCCTCCCATAGAGTCTGAAGCCCCCTGTGTATCTACTGTTCCGCCTTCATCTTCTGAAGCAGCAGCAGTGAGTATTTGAAGGCTGGACATGGTGCTGGTTTCACTCTTTGCTTTGATGGACAGGAGTAAAGGGCATGGTGTGTGAAACTGCTGAATGCTCTGCAAAACTAACCATGGGCTGTAGCTATGTGTTTCAACTTAGAGTAAATGTATCTAATTATTGCAGTTTGACAAAACCCCTGCTGGCTTTGTCAAGGACTGCATGCAAACATTGGTTGGTGGAGAGAACCTGTAAGATTAATTCATGAAATGTACTTGTGGTAATTAGTAATACAGAAGGACTTAAGATTTATTTACTAACATCCAGCAATACTGTATGGAATTATTGGCATTTTGAAGCAGAGTAAATGTATCTAATTATTGCAGTTTGACAAAACCCCTGCTGGCTTTGTCAAGGACTGCATGCAAACATTGGTTGGTGGAGAGAACCTGTAAGATTAATTCATGAAATGTACTTGTGGTAATTAGTAATACAGAAGGACTTAAGATTTATTTACTAACATCCAGCAATACTGTATGGAATTATTGGCATTTTGAAGCAGCCTCAGGGAGTAGGGGTTGGTCATGACTGCGGTGTACCATAGGAGCAGTTATCCCTAAGGTATGTTTAATATGTATATATGAGTAGCCTAAACAGGATTTTTCAAAAGGCAGCAAATTCAAGGCTCTGCAAAGAGAGGGGGTTTGAGAAGTGGGTTTTTTTTAACCTTTTGGCACCTACTCTGAGCTGGTGTTAACATATTTGCCTGTTGTCACAAATCCTCTTTTAAAGTTTCAAACATCATCTTGAACAGGTTAACCTGGGTCCTAAAGGTCCCCCATCTTTTCCTGGGACACCCATAATGACCTCTCCTGTGACTGGACCTCCACCACCTTCAATTCGATTTGGAGCACTGCCACCTCCACTGCGTGGGCACTATGGGTCTCGGCCCCTTCCTCTACCCTTAGGTATTAATTATCTTATGCTTGCTTTTAACTTTTCTTTCCAGTTCCTCCATATCTTATTGCAGCAGCAAGAGTTGCTCCTTTACATGCCTTTTCGGCATGTCTGTACTGCAGCTAAACATGTACAGAAGAGGGAGGTGTTCCAGAGCCTAAGCCTGATTGCCTGCACTTCAGTTTTGCAGTCTGCACCTGCCTTAGGTGTTAATTGTTTAGACAATGAGTGGCTGTATCACTTTCCAAGCTCTTTGCTGAGCAAGATTAACTATGGCTCCTTTGGGAGCCTGTTGAACATCTCAAAGCAGCAGTAATAGCATAAGGGGGGGGGGAGAGAAACCTCTAGCTGCCAAAAGTTCCCTCATGTAGCATTTGGCTGCTAGGCACCTCTTTCTGTATATCTTTATCTGAAATGCTTTGGGCCAGATGTGAGCAGTCTGAAATTGGGAACTTCTGTCACTTCCCTAAAATTGGAGGAGTCTTGTTTTACTGTGGGGGAATGTTCACACTCTCTCCTCTTTCCTTTCAGTTCGTGGTCCTCTGCCACCACCTCCAAGAGACTACTTACCTGGCCCACCATTAGGAATGAGAGACCTGCCTCCAGGCCCATTACCACCTCCTGATCCTAGAGGATATGTCCGTATCCCCCCTCCTTTTCGACCTGGGGGGCCTCCTGGCCCACGGCTACCCCCACAGGGCTTAAGGGACTATCCCCCTCTTCCTCCTCCAAATAGAGACTTGCCTCCACCAGGACCTAGAGACTATCCACCAGCTCCTCCTTGTCCGCCATCACCAGCAGGCCCAAGGGACTACACACATCCTCCAGAACAAAAACCGTAACTTCAGCAATTGGATTGCAGCTCTCTGGAATGGACTCTAGCACATTTCATGCAGTTAGGACTTTAAATGGCTTCAAGAGACACCATTTTCTGATTTTATTCTTAGATTTGGTTTCAGTGTACTACAGTTTTTACAGGAATAATTTTCCTGCAAGTTTCCCCAGCCTGTGCATTAGACGATCACCTTAAAGAACACTCACCATTTTGGGATGCAAAAATATCATTTGATGGACTTGAAGCCTGCTTCTTACAGCTGTGGGCCAGGCACCTACAGCACTTTAAATGTGCAATACAAAAAGTACCTGTGTGTTAATGTAGCCTCTGTAAGTAACCAATTGTTGAATGACTCAATTTCATGAAAAATGTAATCAGAACATTTCCTGTGGAAATAATTTTTAAGTAAAATTCTACCCAGCCTGTCTTCCTTCACATTAAAGTTACTGTAGACTAATAGTCTACAGTAAGACAAAACATATTTACCTTTTAAAGATAACTGGTCAAAGATCAGGAACAAGCTAAACTGTATTCAAAGGAAAATCCTACTAATAAAGAAAGCAAAATACATTTGTTAGAGCTTGTTTAAGCCTGCAAGTGAATGTCTCAGAAGCAACTGGAATCAGTTGGTTCTTTAAGTTACTAGTAAATACCCTTCTAGTCACTGCAATTAGGGCTAAGACAGTCCACTTGAAGGAACAGTAACAATTACACTTCTCTTGTTCAATAGCTTGCATAGATTACTCATGTCTTGCACAACTATTTTAAATTCATGATCAGGCCATCACAAACCCCTGATTTTAATGGAAGCATACTGAGATCTTGTCACTTCTGCCCCATGTAGACAGCCTTGAACTGACATACACTGCAGCAAAAGGAAGGCTAGTCCATTTGCTTAATCACAGTACAGAAAAGTTTGAAGTCCAGTGCAGTTTTAAAAAAACTATACAAGCAACATCATCTCCCAAAAATAGGCTTTCAGGGAATAGTGACCTCATGAAGAATGAAAATGCAGAGAAGTGACTTAAACCCATTCACGTATGATAAATATACAAGTAAAGCACTGTATTTAAACAGTTTCAAACTTCACTGGCCTTGAACATTTCTACACAATTGTATTGAACTGGGACTTCAAGCAGCAGACTAGAGATGTAAGGGGTGTAGGTTTAAAACAACTGGATCTGTTTCACATGAAAGTATTTCATTTATAGGACTAGTGCAGGGGTGGGGAACCTAAGGCCCAGACTGCTCTCCCTGCTCCCTGCAGGCAGTGGGGAGCCCACATTGAAGCTCCAGTCCCCACCTCACTCCTATTGAGGCTAGAACACACAAATCTACTAGCCTGGTCCCCCCTAGTATCTGATGTGCAAGGAGCATGTGGGGAGTGTCTCATGTCCAGGAGGGTGTGTTGGGCTTCACGTGAGTGCAGCTCCTGACCCAAAAAAATTCCCCACCCCTGCACTAGTGTATACATTGGCTCATTAACCATTTACTAGTAGACATGTAACTGGTTAACTGTATACATATGCATTTTAAGGACACCCATCTTTGAAAGCCAGATCATTCAGGTTCAAGTTTTTAACCTAGTAGGTTCCCCCAAAAGCAAGTTTATTCCATTTCATTTAACTAACATCTTCTTGTAGTTCTTAACTTTGAAAGGATTATCCCCAGCAATCAGCCACACACAGAGTGTGAGTACATCTTACCAGAGAGAGAACTAAACTCAGTTTCAGTACCTTTTCCCAATTATTGATCGTAGCCTAATTTGGCAGATGGAGATGTACATAGCTACACAGTGTGTCTAGTATGACAAATGCATATAAAAAAATGGAAGTCTCTTTGAATGGACTTTGAAAAGGCAACATGGGGCTTGCAACTTTAGTCAGCAAAGTGCATGCATCTAATGGCAATTAAGTGCTTTAGATGAGCAGAATCATACACTACACAAGTTGCACTGGTGAAAGATTGTGGATTTGCATCTAAGTCGGTTTTTGCAATTAATGTTTCCTTCCTTTATACAACACCAGCAGACACAATGGAGGCTCACTGTCAGATCATATTTACATTTATTTTAACAAAACTAATCAAGATAGTGTTCTTTTCAGGCATGATATTGTATTTTAAAAGATTATGTAATTGAATCCCTTTATGAACTGTTCACAGGAAAATACACAGTTCTTCAGCCATTAGTCAAATACTCAAGAGATGAACTCCTCCCCTCTCCTGGTTTGTGGACAAGACAAGACAACCGAAAAGGTCCATTTTATCCTCTTCCACCCAGGTGTTGGTTCCCTTCAAATCACTGTACTAGAGGCAGAAAGGAACACCCAACACACATCATAAAAAGTGCAAAAATCCTGTTCACTCACTTTTTTTAAACAATGTTCTGGAGTTAGTATTACATGGTGCAGAAAGGAAGGCGTTAATGGTACATTTACATCCAAGCGATCAGAAAAGCTAACATTTGACACTGCATTCTCCTGGTGCTTGTCCTTTGTTAGCATAGCAGAGCATATGTAGGCACTATTTAGGATACACATGAAGCACATCAGACCTTGAAGAACTGTATTAAATATTCCACTCATTGAATATATGAAAAGTTTGAATGGGTTCTACTTCGGTCCCTTTAAGTCAAAAGGTAGATGCAAATATTCATGTTATAATAAGCCAATGCCCTGCAGCTTATTACACACTATGCATCTCAATAATATAGAAAATAAATGATCATCCTATCTACCTACATAAAAACCAAGTTATTTTAGACTAAGTTTCCAGGCTTGCATACAAAGATCCACAATTGGATTTTATGAAAACTGTTTCTCCAGGGAGGGCGTGTCTGTCTTCTGCCGACAGCCTGAGGTGACCAGAGCACAATAACCCCACCAAAAAGATTTGAGTAATCAGGGCCCAGTTCTACCACCTGTGGAAATCAATAGTTAAAAACTCCCACTGACAGCAAAGGGAGTTAGGATGGGCCCCCAGAGTTCTCCAACACATGCCCAGACAGTGGTGCACAAAGAAGAAAATGGGTGGGAAATACAAAGTATAGAAAAAAAAAGAAAGATTGTTCCCTTAAGCATTTATGATTAAGGGATTCCAATACCTGTAATGAGACAACTTCTACCTGAAGTCACATGATACACTGAATCCTGCAAGGCTGGGAACTAGCTGAATGAACTGAGAAACAGTTGACAATTTAGTTGTCTCATCAGCATCTTCCCTTTCACCCTCAAAACCCTCCTCCCTCACTTAGGCAGATAAGACAGCAGGCTAACAAGATGTTCTAAAGCAGCATTTCAACTTTGGATTGAATCTCTCTCTACCCAGAATCTGCCTATTGCTGCTTCAACCACTCACAGACACTTTCTTGTAGTAAAATCCCTCCTATCACCTTCCCCACAATATAGAGCGAAGAACTCTAAAATGCAGGGGTCTGCAATAGCAAGCATAGCAAGAGTAAACAAGCTAGCAAACCTACCATGACATTTTGCTATATCAGAATTGGCATATTGGGCACTTCCCACCCTCTAGCAAGTTTTCTGAAGCAAGGGTAAAAATAGAGGTAAATTACAAAATTGAAATTTTACAAACAGCTCAATTATGAAAAGAAAGTCACAAAATGCTTCAGTACGCTTGTGATAAAACTGATGTCCAAAAAAGTACTGGAAAACTTGCATCTGAATGGTAGGTTTATCCTCTGACCCTGTGGTATTGCTGTGCAGTGTGTGATGGTCTCATTTGACCTACTAGCATGAGTACAGCCACTTTCCTGCCTGTTGAAGGATGGGGGTGCTACACACGCAGCTACCATGATTTGTGACAAGTGGTTTAGTTCACAGAAGTCTCACAAAAGGGTCATTCCTTGTGCAACGTTTGATGGAGGTGAAGATAAAGTGGTTTCTTGGTCAACAATTGCAGTTTCTTCCTTTTAAAGTCAGTGGGTTTTTTGTATCTGTAATCACAAGAAATAAAATGGAAGACAAATGTTCATGGTGACTAAATGCATCAGAATTAACCCACACTCAAATACCCAGGTTCCAACCATACCCAGGTCTCACTGACACCATCTGTTAAAGTGCTTCAGATACAAATTTAGGATTCATGCAAAGAAACAATAATGAAAACTACGTTAGACAGAAAAAAAAATTAACTGAGCTGCTTCATTTTCTTCTCTTCGAAATATTATTTTAGACCAAGGCAAAGCAAGTTAAAAGCTTTCAAAGGCATACAAGCCTGAGTAGAACAGAATTCATTTGCAAGGTTTTGGGTTATCTTCTTTTGCCTCACACACACTTGCAACATGTTACTGGAGGTTTAATTCTACAAGTTGAATCCTTCTAGTCCGGTATCCCTGGGGACCTAACCAGTGTCGAACCACAGAATTTGCCGAAACACTGGTGGTCAATATTGTCTAGCAGCGCTACCAACACTTCCGTTGCTTACTGGGCACGTAGATAAATAGCAGCATAGAACACAAAGCCAAGACTAGTGGCTGTAAACAAACTTTACAGGACTGTGGAAAACTTGGCCACACCCATAAGCGGACATCCTGACAAATAAAATCATGCTTGACCACACAGTGCCAGATTAGAGAGGTTCAACCTGTATTAGGGTACGTCTAGACTACCGGGTTTTGTTGACAGTAGTTTTGTCGACAGTATCTGTCGACAAAACTTCTGTCGACAAAGAGCGTCCAGACACACTGAGTTCTGTCGACAAAGCAAGCTGCTTTGTCGACAGAACCATGTAGTCTAGACGCAACCCTACAGGCAATAACACCTTCTGTCGACAGAACTCTGTCGACAGAAAGTGTTATGCCTCGTAAAATGAGGTTTACCAGCGTCGACAAAACTGCTGAGTTCTGTTGACGTTATGTCGACAGAACTCAGCGGTAGTGTAGACGCTGGTATAGTTTTGTCGACAAAAGTCCACTTTTGTCGACAAAACTCAGTAGTCTAGACACACCCTTAGAAAGACTATCTGGTATTTCTCACTCAACACTTAGGTTTGTTAAAATAGGTCTTACAAAATTGCTACTCCCAGGATCATTTTTCATTGGATGTTTTCCACTAAAGTTACTTTGAATTAAAACCATTTCCCCATGTGACAACAGCTGAGACTATCAAAGCAGGACCTTGTTTATCCCTCTTCTCCGGTATCTTAACTGTATGACTGCTCTTATCAGAAATACTTTGACCTGTATGCCTTTTGGGGATTGGCCCTTTACATTTAGGCGAGTAGAATAGCTGCAGTCCTGAAATGGCCATTTTGCAACAGCAGCTCAAGACTCCCAATAAGAACTAAAATAAAGTTAAGGAGATGAGACAAATTGTCATACTCTTCAATGTTTGCAACTCACATTACAGCACTACAGTAGCAATACCAGGAGAATCAGAAATCAAAACAGACTAATAAACAGGGCTCGACAAACTGATGAATCTACTCGCCCGAGGCGAGTAGATTTCAGCCAGTCGCTCTGTGTGCCCCATTCACTGGCGCTTCGCACATGCGCAGTGCCAGTCTGGTGCATGCGCAGTGCCGAGCTGGCGAGTAGTTCTCGCCGGGGTTTGTCAAGCCCTGCTAACAAAAAGACAAACCAGCCAGTGTATTTGCGTTTTCCAAGTCACTAGAAGTAGTGAGCTGCCAAGTGTGAAGGGGTTTTAACATTTTCAGTGTTAATATTCCAGTTTACTGTAGTGGGTAAACTGTTTGTGAAACCTATTTTTGACAGGATCCTATCCCTTGCATGTGTGGCAAGTCATAGGGATTTCATTCAAAAATAAACCCTGCACTCTAGTTAGGAAGATGTTTGTTTTTTTAGCAGGAGATCAGATTACTTTAGTTGAGGATCAAAATGCACAACACATACATGTAACCTGAAATCTTGCTGGTTTGTTTAAAGTAGCAAGAAAACCAGGAGGAGACAAAGTGGTAAGTTTGACAACAAACGGTTTCCTATTTCTAAAACAGCAAAACCTCAGTAGACAATACTAGATTAGCTCCTTCGTATCATGTCACTGGAATCTACCATATAGATACATACAATCCCTATATCCGATAGTATGCTAGGTCACTTACAGTTCTATAACAATTGTCCCAGGTTTAATTTCATCCATCTCCATGAAAGCAAAGCACTTGGTGCTGGTAAATCTTTTTTTGGGCTTATAATGTTTGAATTCGAAGAAAATAGCTGCACCTAAAGGGGGAAAAAGTTATCAGAGAAAAACTATTCAAATATTGCCTATAACAGATCCCTTGGCCTAAAAACATGGCGGTCATCATAACCTGTTCTACATACAGAGTCAATGGCTTCTATTATTTTTCTACATCACCTGATTTGATGAAATGTTAGAATTACTCCCCTGTACTTGTGCCCCCTCTCAAAAAACCAGAACCATAGCTAGACAGCATGGTTGGTCCGAACATGTAACAGAGTGTACTACTGGAGAGCAAAATATGTCAAGTCACTACTCTAGGACTTTGTAGCAGTGTCCGCACAAGAACTAGCACTCTGTAGATTCACACCCTAACCTGCCACACACAGTAACTTGCCACATAGACAAGTCCTGTGTCTTGAGCAGGTTGGACCTGGCTCCTCAGAGTAGGAGTATCATCAAGACTACTGTCCTGAAGATGCATGGACCCCATTTCAGAAATCTAAAATTCCAACCTTTTGTTAGTTTTTCAACATGTTTCTGGATCTCAATGTCCACATTAAAATGAACATAGGTGTCCTCTTTTCTTGAGGCCACTGGAGTATCCTGCACAGGGGTCAGATCTATCCCATTCACATCTGGAGGAAACAAACAATTAGAGCCTTAAGATCAAAGTATCCAAAACATCTTTTTTAAAAAAGCTTGTCATTTATCATTACCACACATGCACTTTCCATTCTTATATTAACAAATCTTCTTCATAATCTCTATTTATTACTGCCTATTATCAGTTCATTGGGTTCCAATACCAAAACCAGCACTGCATCTAAAGTCTGCATCCTCTCTCCTTCTTCAAAGAGAACACCCTGAAATCTCAGAGTCCCTGGTCTGTTACCTTGCTATCAGTGACAGTTTTATTTTCAAACTGTCACAGTCAATTTTATTTTTCAAAAAGGCAATTTTTATGCTTGCCAGTGAAGTATCAAATTCCCCTTTGAGGACTGGTTTCACTCTACTTAAAGGTCTACTCTGAGAAAAGTCTATGGAAAAATAAAGTTGAAACCCTCACCACTGAATGTCCCAATGCAGATCTGCTCAGAGTTTTTCAAATGTGGGTTGCAGGGCTGTCAGAGTAAGCCATTGGCCAGCCCACACCACTTTTACTTAATGTGTCCATGCCCACAGCACCTCACAGCTCCCATTGGCTGTGGTTTGCCATTTCCACCCAAGGAGAGCTATGAGGATCCGTGGCCATGGCCACGTTAAGTAAAAGTGGCACAGACCCACCAGCGCTTACCCTGCTGGTCCTGTGGCACAACTTTGAAAACCACTGGATCTGCTTGCTTTCCTGGCTAGAAACAGCACTTACTACTTTTCACTCCTGTCAGCCAGTACGGGAATGGGGAGGAAACTGGGCTCCATTATGCAAGCCCAGATTAACAATTACGATGCTCCAGCATTAGCCAGACCAAGTGAGACTGCTGGTTTATAATTGTTTGACTTATGGAGAGGAAACTGCGCTTCATTATGCAAGCCCAGATTAACAATTGCGATGCTCCAGCATAAGCCAGACCAAGCGAGACTGCTGGTTTATAATTGTTTGACTGCTACTTTGTCCTCTCCCACGTCTGCCCTCCTCCCCCCACCAGCTTTTTCCATCCATCTGCTGTGCTGTGCCTCAACAGATAAGATCATGAGTATTTGGGGCACAGCTTCTCTTTGGCAAGTGCTTCTGAAACACAATGACAAATAGTCAGTGACAGAACTATTGCTGTTGAAGAGTTGGCCACCAATGTTAAGATTCCAGACTGATTTTAAGGATAATGTTTTTTTTTTAAAATCCTGTGTAGGTTTGCTATGGAGTGTCTAAGACAATGAATATGGTCTCACAATGCCTTTTAAAAGTTATATCAACAGTGGCTTTTCTGGGTAGATTTACTTTAAAAACGTAGAGGGGAACTGAAGTACACCCCTCCTCATTTCAGTAGGTGATGCAGTCTCCCTTGGGGGAGCTGAGAGTTTGATATGTCAGTGCAGGCAGACAATCATACAATTTGATGACAGTGCTACTTGGGAAATTCTATTCGCAAAAGAACACACACAGACTGTAGCTCAGGGCTGAGGGGCAGGATTGTACAGGAAAAGCCTGCATTGCTCTTGCACACACTGCCCTGGCGCCCTCCTGCAGCCATTAGCTTTTGTGTTTTTCTACTACATAACTAGCAGAGGGGAAATATAATACATTTCACACAGAGCAGGGTGGCAGTCTACAGGGTATTTGCTCTGAACTCTGACATTTCAGAAGGTGTTAACAATTGGTACTTTATGATTAGCCAAAAACCAAATGCACTCTTTTTTGCTTGATGTGACCCAGATCAGCTGTTGGATTGACAATAACTAACCCCTGGTCCCACAAATGTCTTATCGATAGCCAGTAGGAGAATGGAACACAACCAAGTTACGGACAAGAAATCTGGGAAGCACCTGAGAAATTTAGTGTAATTCAAGGGTCTACAAACAATGCTGCAGAACCATAGCAATATTATTGAAAATAAACCTTTTGCACCTTCAGGGTCTCATGGAGGGTAATGTAGAAGGGATGAGTTTTTTGGGAGACAGCAGGATTCAGGTTCCATAGTTTTTGTTTGCACCTTCAGGGTCTCATAGAGGGTAATGTAGAGGGGATGTGTTTTTTGGGAGACAGCAGGATTCAGGTTCCATAGTTTTTCCATCAGAGGAAGAAGGCTTCAGACTGAGGGCTTCTCTATACAAACAATTCATGTGCTACCAGCTGGGGTGTGAATCTGCCCCTCACTAGACTGACATGGGCCTAATGTCCATGTGCACCCCACTGCCATGCACTAGCAGTTTGTTAATATTCTTTGCTCCAGTTTTGCTTTTGTGGCAAGCCCAGATCAAAGCACTCTCAACAGAGTGCTAACATGCCAGCAAGTGCCGCATAGATACGCACAGCGAGTGCAGCAGGCTTGTGTGGGGAGAGTCACCCCCCAGCTTACCACAAACTAAGCATTCATGTAGAGCAGCTCAGAGACATGGGGTAAGTATTTCTACATCTCACATACAAACCCGCAGCTGGCCCGGGCCAGCTGATGCGGGCTCCTGGGGCTCAGGCTAAGGGGTTGTTTGATTGTGGTGTAGTCACCTGAATTCAGGCTGGAACCCAAGCTCTGTGTCACTTCCACCTCGCTGGGCCCTACAGCCTGGACCCCAGCCCAAGTTCGAACAGCTACATCACAATTAGACACAGCCCCACAAGCCTGAATCAGCTGCCATGAGCCAGCCATGAGTGTCTAATTGCACAGTAAACAGACCTCAGAAGCAGCGGTCTGAATGTGAAATATATTACAGGAATCAAGAGAGCAGAGAAAACTTCATATCCAATTGGTTAGGCTGATGGATGGGAGGAAATGCAAGACCCTCCCCAGAAACATGATCAGTCTTCCCCCACTCCCCCAAGGTAACAGTCTTGTTAAGCTACAAAATGATATTACAGGCTCCAAGTGCCAATCTAAGTGTTTCGCTGTATGGAGAAAGAGGGATTCTATTTCCCTAAAGTACACAGGCCCCTCACAGAGAGCAGAAGAACACAGCAGAAAGAGCAACACTTACCCTTTACACTAACGGTGATGTAAGGATCAATGCATTGCCCAGCATCTTTCAGACCAATTTTCTCTATTTTGATAGTGAGTAATGTCATCCCAGGTTCTGAGGGCAACCTGGGTAATAAAGTACCTGGCAACAGAGAGGAAACCAAAACGTTAACCCTTTGGACTCTTACAGCTAAGGCCCACTTCAGCCTTCCCTCATCCTCATTGCACACAGAAGTCTTTTCCCACCCCCTCCTAAAGCAGATAATGAGAAGGGATAGGGTTTAGTCTCCAAAGGCCAAACATTTGCATCCTAATGACACAAATCATCTATCACCAACAGCTCTCAAAGTGCTTTACACATTTAGAGAGTGCAAAGAAACGCAGTCACCAGCTCTGGGGTGCAGCGTGGCAAGTCAGCACATAACATACTGAACTACATTGAGGGCCACAGCGATAAGCATCTATTTACAAGAAGTGCCACAGGCTCTTTAACATCAGATGGAGAAGACACGACTTTTGGTTTTGGGATTTCTTTTTGCACACATTGTAAATTACACAGAAACTCCATTTCTGTAGCTTTGAAGGACTGAGACCACCCTGCTAGGATTAGAACTTGTGCATGGTAGGGAGTTCAGGTATCTATCCACCAGCTTCATGCTAATCAGTTAGATTAGAACTAGTGAAAGAGATGGAAGCAATAGAGAAGGGAATGTTGCATCAATATGAACCCCACTATGTAGTAAGAGAAGAAAAATTCTCAAGCAGTGTTTCTCAATGACTGGTCTGGGGACCAGCACTAGTCCCCAAGTTCTTGACACTGTTTAAGAAAGCAACAAGCCGATTTCTGGTAACAAAAGGTTTGAGAAATACTGGTCTAGAGTATTTAGCATCTATTGGCATTAGATATCAAAAGACACAGTATAAAAACACATTAATCACAACAGAGAATGTGAGGTCATTTCCACCTATACATCAAGAAAATCAAAGATGTTCTTAGTTCAGATACAGACGGACGTTACTGTAGGAGAATCCCTAGAATGCTGAGCACAGCTCGCAGTTTGCAGAAAGTCTCAGCTATCAGTAGAGTATGTAAGAAACACGGGCGGCCTGTGAGCCTAAGAAAACTAGGCAGTTGCCTAGATGATGACGTTACGGGGTGCTGAGGCACCCCATGATTACTTCACAGCCATTGATGGCCGTGCAGGCGGGGGCGCCGATCACGCCTTCCACCTGGGGCGCTAGCTGCCGCAGCCGGCCTCAGGTGGCTTCTGAAGGAACATATGGATGGCAATATGTTTCAGACCAAAGGCCATCTAGCCCTATATCCTGTCTACTGTCCAGTGGCCAGTGCCAGGTACTTCAGGGAGAAGAAAGAGAACAGTGCAATTATCAACTGATCCACCCCTGTTGTCTAATAAAATCAAATACTCTTGAAATCAATACAAGGTATTTCCTCTCCATGCTGACTGCAGAGAAAGCTGGGTGGGCTTAAGAGCAAATCTGGTGTTGGTGGTGCTAGATTTACAGTGTAAGACAAAGGAATCAAACTCATGAGCACGTTTGATGTAGTCTTGTTTCTAATTACAAGTTTTATCATCCTGAAATGAAAAGAAATAATTTTCCTCAGCAAATGGAGTCACTCATTTCCTCCAATGTAGGGATGTAATAGTGTAGTCAGTTAACCTGTTAACCGATAAGCAAAAGCTTAAGGGTTAATACTATAGACTACATGCATTTCCCTCCTCCCCACCCATGCCAGGTCTAGAACCTACCCCTGATGTGGCTCTGCATTTAAAGTGTATTAGGAGCCAGGTAGGCAGGCAACCTGGCTCAGTTCTGGCTTGCACTGGGTCCAGGAGCTCAGACCCCCCCTTAGACAGAGACAGCAGCACTGGGAGACAAGCAGCCAGTCCACAAGGGGAGCTGGTTTTTAAACTGTTTCCCCTCATGGATCAGCTCCCGCCTGGTACCCCGTGCTGCCTCTGATACAGTGGCTGCCAGCCCAATCCCCAGAGACTACAGAATAGTCGATTAACTGATACAAATTCATGAGGTTAATCGACTATTCAATTAACCAATTTAACATCCCTACTTCAAAGGTTTCAAGTTTCTTGACATATTTAGAGACATGGGAAATTCAAGGGAGTTTACATTAGGACAGGAAGACAGGCTTCAAAATCAAGTTCCAAATATTGTGCCCGTAGAAATGCATCCTTGCAGCCCCTAGGACTTGTATTGGGGTCAGTGATTATTCCCACCACTGCGTTGGAATCCTCAACAAAGCTGGAACCCAGAACCTTCAACAGCAGCATGAGTCTCTATGAACTTAGCTGACAGCGGTCATCGACTCATGGCATTTATGCACCAGCCCCTCCAAGGGACCACATCTCACAGGAAGGAGTGGGGCACAGTTGCACACCTAAAGGCAGGATTTGACCCCCCCCTCCCCCCCCAGCATTTACTGTGGGCGGGACAAAGGCTGCTAACTGCACAGTTATAAACAAATGAATAAAACCTCAAGACTGAACTGAATAGTCCACAATACCAATGAGAATAGGCACTTTTCATGCTGGGGAAAATTGCTGACACATCCTGCTTCAACATGAGGCCATTTCTCTGGCACTGTGGTTAGCTGTGGGTTTTCTGCCATGTTTATTTGACATGCTTAAAATGAGGGCTTGTGCCTCAACAAGCCCTTTCCTGTGCTCCCTACAGGCTTGTAGATGCGCCCTACCTATCTCGCAACAAATGCAAAAATGAAGGAGGCCTTCCAAAGCCATCTCCAATGAGCAGGGAATCCTGTCGGGGCTTAATACAAAACCTGTGAATTCAAGTCTTTGCCAGCTATTGCTTGGGAGGACAGAGAGCTTTAGTTATCAGTGGGATTTTTAATAAGTTTTAAAAAAAATCACTGTCAGAAGCTGGCAGACTTGGGACTTTTCCTTGGGTTTGTTTTAAGAATTTTATTTTTCGCCCTGTTTAATTTACTGACCCTGAAGGCACTGGGTTGTGTGAAGTCCCCTGTTTGCCCATGGGGTAATCATCAAAAGTGACAATTTAAGCTTCCATCAAATGGCCCTCCCTCCAGCTCTCTCAAGCAGCCCAGGTCTCTGCCATTTTAATCCCCAGCACCTCTGAGGCAGTTTAAGAATGTGGCAGTTAGACATGTCCATGTCATACAAGACACCATGTGTGTCTGTCAGGATGTAGACTGAGACTAGATCAATCTCATACAGGCATCATCAGCTGGTAGCAACCTTTGAAAAAGAAATTGGAACCGTTGGTCTAGTGGAGAAGAATAGGCATGAGACTACCAGTCCATCCCTCCATGGGCCTCAGTTTTAACAGTCTCAAGTGAAATTACCCAAGAGAAAAACTTCAGTCACTTTAGCAGGGAGTCCTGCTTACACACAACACATTGGGGTAGCATGCAAGAGTGGATTTGCTAAATTGCACGTTTCTTAAGAGTCATCTAAGTGGCTTCACTAAAACATTCTTTCTCTGTAGCTGAAAGTCAGCTCACTGGTTACATATACAGAGAGTCTTTTATTACAAAAACAAATGCACTCGGAATTGAGATACAAATGAAAGATGCCACAGCAATGGCTGTATTCATTAAAATGTTGTCATACCTTCAATGACTCCTGAGTTAGACGAATGGTTTCGTGTGTGATAACATGATGAAGCCATGCATATAGAAGACAAGACCATGGACAATTAGACAATCCAACAATCCAATATGAATTAAAAGCATACAGAAGCAAAGTATACAAGTGAGGAGAGTACAATGTAGCCTACTGAATTAATGGGGACAATCTGTTACTTAGATTTATAAGCCTCAGATCAGACGGTTCTGTGAATCATTTATTTAATTTGAGCCTTATTATCCATAGAAAAGTGACACGCCAACATTCAAAGTTAAGCAATTAGGCTGCCAAATCATCAAACATCACACCACACAAATATCCCTGTATGAAAGTCAAGAGAAACACAGACTGTGCCAAGTGGAAAGGCAATTCAAGATCATTAGACTGCCTTCCTTTTTGAAGGCAACATCCAACTCAGTGAAAGGCAGGGTGAGAATCCATGATGCAAGTTGGGCAACAAACTAAATGTGTTAATTCTAAGTTTAGAGGGTGCCCTTTCCTGCTCTGATCACGGGAAGTGGCTCTGTGGGGCCCACTGAGCATTATCTCACTCTGATGTTTATATCGAGTGTGCTAAGTTTACCAGTAAACCAGAGCACATCTGCTGAGAAGGAAGGTAGCATTTGTACCTTATTATTTTTTAGACCAGAGCGTGCTCTGTTCCTGTCAACTGAATGGTTCGTTAAAGGTGGCAGGTTCAGAAAGAGAGAGACATTTGCCCCCAGAACAGGTGTATCACCAGTGGAAGCTTCTCTGCTCTGCCATTGTAACTTGGCCAACTCCTAAAGGAAGATGCTGCCTCTGGGCATGGTTCATTCTTGGTGTCCCTAACACTGGTATCAGTATATTTTCAATTGTGGTCATATTGCACGGTAAAAAGTTGTAAATTGAATTGAATGTCTCAACCCAAATCTTATGAGCAACACCTATTAAATGGTGGTATCTTTCAACTGCTGCCAATACAGGCAGGACTCAAGATGGGTGACGTAAACACAATATAGTTGCACATTTCCTTATCACTGAGTTGCCCAGCACCCTTCCAGTTCTTCCCCCACTTTAAAATTCACACAATGGCTACTTAAAATTCTCAGACACTATTTCGGTGGTTCTCAAAACTTTGTTTTCCCCAAAAACCACTAGAAAATTGCTGAAAATTGCTCAGCGGACCACTTCATGATCTTTCCAGATGCTGCTTGTACCTCTAGCTAACTACTGTAAGCACTTTGCATAAAAGCACTCTATAAAAAAAACCTTAATAATTAGCTTTTTTTGTGTTACACAACTCACTACTTCAGCAGTAATTTGGGGAGAGCAGTCTCTCCTCCTCTGCAGCAACTACTGAGCTGGGAAGGAAAGGAGGGTCTCTCCCCTGCTGTGGGCTGGGAAGGGGGGGGAGGTCTGTCTCTCCCTTCCCATCCCAGCAGCCTCCAAGCTGGGGCTGGGAAGGAGGGGGATTCTCTCCTCCTCTCTGCTGTCACAGTAGCCACAGACTGTCTTCTACCTGCAGCTACAGCCCTGGAGCTCGGGAAAGTTGCCTCTTTCTCTGGATGCCACAGCCCTACAATATCCCAAATTCCCCCCATCCCCTCATCTCATCTCACTGCCCCCACACCTACTTCCTATTTCCCCCACTGCCCTTTCACACCACCCTCATTACCCTCAAGGCCAACACATCACCTCACATGTACATCTTCTCTAGGGTCCAGGCACCTAATTAGTGGATCCAGCACAGCTTCATTAATTAGGTGGGCGGCTCTTCATTCTCATGTGCGCAGTCGCCCAGGTGCACACTTCAGAAGGAAGTATCCACAGCAGGGATGTTAAATTGGGGTTCTCTCACTAATCGTACAGTGATTACAATTTGTACTGACTACACGATTCGTTGATAAGGACCACTCTGCAGAGCCGCAGCGCTGGCTCAGGGACCCACCCACACTGCAGCTTTGCATTTGAAATTTAAATTGCAGAGCCACAGCTTCCTGGACCAGCAAAAGGCAGGACTGCTCAGTCCCGGCTCACGTTGAGTCCAGCAGCTCCGGTTTGCGGCAGCCAGCTCTGTCCTCTGCAAACACAGGCTGCTCTGGCACTAGCCCTAGTTTGCAGTGGACAGGGCTAGCCATGACCTGCTGCAGGAGCAGCCTCTGCCCATAGTGAGCCTCAGCCTGCTGCAGGCAGAGACTGCTCTGGCAGCAGCCTCCCCTCTCCCCACCCCCACTGATTCTGATAAAGGCAGTGGGATGGAGGAGCAGGCAGCACAGTGGAGATGGTGCTGTGGGGAACCAGCTTTTAAGTCAGCTCCTCCCTGCACTGGCTCCTGTTTCCCCCCCCTTTGTTGCCTCTCATAGAGGCAGCAAGGGGAGGGGGCGCCACAGAGAGCACAGGGCTCTTGCACATCCATAAACCACTTGAATAGAGCTCACGGCTCATGGTTTGAGAACTTCTGCCCTATTTTATTTAAGTATCTTCCTGTACCCTAAAACTCAGCGGCCATTTTGCTTCACTAAGATAAGATCATTTGGCTACAAAAGAAGTCCAACCATAAGTAGGATTTAATCCTTAGATTCACTAAGGGTATCTTCAACTACAATGTTTCAAGTTACTTATTATTAGAACTTCAGAGATGACTTAAACGACAAAGACAACACAGACAGGGGAAGACAGAAACAATATCCTGGGAGAGCTTATTTGAAAGTAACAGAACTCACATTTATGCACCGTTTCTCACAACAGGTGTACAGCAAGCAAACTGTAGTTATATACTGTGCCACAAACCTAGTAACGTGTAGTCTGAAAGCTAACATTAAGCTTTTGTACGTAACCAAACCACAGTTGCATGCAGGAATCATTTATACAGGCAGTCCCTGGGTTACGTACAAGATAGGGACTGTAGGTTTGTTCTTAAGTTGAATTTGTATGTAAGTCGGAACTGGCATCCAGATTCAGCTGCTGTTGAAACTGACCAGCAGCGGCTGAATCTGACACACCTGGGGCAGAGCAGCTGGGGTGCTGCTGGGTTGGTCCAGTAGCGCCACACTTCGGCGCTGTGGGACCAACCCGGCAGCCCCCCAGCTGCTCTGCCCCAGGCATCCTGATTCAGCCACTGCTGAAACTGACCAACGGCTGACTCCAGGAAGCCTGAGGCAGAGCTGCTCTGCTCCAGCTTCCCTGAGTCAACCGCTGGTCAGTTTCAACCGCAGCTG